AACATCCGAGTCATCTTCTGTTTCCTCTCCTGCGTGATACGACCGTCATACCACCACATAGAAATCGGTCGTTCGTATGCGAAACAAGAACATTTTTTACTGTTGTTAAACTGGATTTTTACGTTCACAGTATCATTATTGGTTAAAACATTCTGCTCATCAACGAAGAGAAAATCGTTTGCTCAGTGGTTCCGCAAAATTTTTCGTACGATTTTCTTGTTGTGTGCACAACATGTTGTGTGTACAACATAAGGATGCATTTACAACTCTGAATAGTTGCGAGAACCCCAGTGGGGGTTCCCCCAATAGTTGCAAGAGGCAGCCCCATTGACAGCAATGGGAGGCTGCGGGCCCTTGTAGCTAATCGCGGCAATCACATGTAATCTCTTATGCAGTGATCACATGCAAGTGATCGGCCCTGGACACAGGCAGTCTGCAGCCAGGACTCATCACTTGCACATGATCGCTGAATGAGCAATAACATGCAAGTAGCTATGATTAGCTGCGAGAGTCAGCAGCCTCCCATTGCATTCAATGGGGCTGCCTCTCACAGTTAATCCCAAGACTCCTAATGGGGTCCTCGCATCTAAGCAGAGGCAGGGTGCATTTGCAGGAGTGAATGTACCCTAAAAGGTCAGTTATTAGATTCATCAGGCAGGATAGGCTTCCCTGAAAAGATGAGTTTTCAGGGGTTGCCTAAAATAATATATCAGTGTAACCTCCCTAGCGATCTGATTATGTCCATATTTCTGTGCTCAAAGCAGCAGTACATTTTTTTGCATGGAAATATGTATTTGTTTATTGTAGACCTGTAATTTTTAGGAATAACTCACTGAAATCTGTCCGAACAAGAGTCTAGTAAACGTCCCGGGTATGTTAAAATTTGAAACACAAAATCATAAATTATAATTTAATAATCATAAAAAATAATAATATAATAATAAATTTAATTCAATAATATAATCAAACCAAAAACACTGAAATTTGAAATATAGCGCCAAGTTCGCACATTGCTGAGCAAAGTCGCAAAATCGTTTTCAGTGTCTGATGACAAATTTCCCCACAAATCATTATCACTCAATTCTGCAAGTGGTTCTGATTTACTATCGCTGTTCTCTAGCTGGTCTAAAACCGCTTTTGACCTAAAGGGACGCTTTTTGGATGCCATGGACTTTTCTCAGTTTCCAGGCAGAAAGAACAGTAAAAATGCAGGCAGGGCACAGGACAAAGCAGAAGGAAATGTATGTGAAATGGTTTGATACAGTAATGTTTTACTATATGATTTTAGTGTATTTAGTGAATGTCACTTTTTCACATTTTTAAATTTCCCGCCGTTCTGTCCCCGTACGTCCCGACGTCGCAGGGAAAGGAACCCAGAAGACAGATGCCGGCATCGGCCGGAGGACATTGCAGGGGACACTGCAGGGGGGACATCGCGGGAGCAAAGGACAAGGTAAGTGAAGAAGAGATCTCGGAGCAACGCTGCAAGGTATTGCCGAGTGTAGCTCGGGGTTACCGTTTGTGGTGCTGAAACTTTACCCCGAGCTAAACTCAGGAATACCGCCAGGGAGGTTAAATATGTTTTTTTTTTGGAATAGAGCTAAAGGCACTGCCAAATATAGTGTCATACACTGGAATAGATAGGAAGGTAGCATGTATCTGTCTTAATTTAAATCAAAATATGTGCTCACTGAAAATATTCTATTCTTCCTTTTTGTTTTCTGCAGAATGTAACCTGTCCTATTTATGAGGTCTCCAGCACACGTACACATTTTATTAACAATTGAATCAATTCTCAAGATCACCCAGTGTTATAAGCGTTGCACAACAGGTCAAAGCAGCCAACAAAGTCATCGATATATGTTTTGTTGTACATGGTACTCACTGGCCATTGAAATAACAACTCAGCCCCGCCAATTTTTCCTGCTATCAAGGTCAAATAGCAGATGCTGAGAACATCCTTTTTTGCTTCCTCTTCAACCCCCTTTACTTACAATAACTGTAACTGGCTTTGTAAAAACAAAAACGCACACAGACGGCACTTGAGCCTCAACACATTCATCACCCCAGTCATTAGAAGCTAAGGACCAATTTTCTCTGACAGTTACCTAATTATTAAAGTTGGGAAAAACAACAAACCCACACCATTGAAATGATTTAATAATTCGTACAGTCTGCTTAAGCAACCAGCAGGGTTCATCAGAAGTCCATCTGCACAGAAAAAAACATGTGGAGTCTGTCTGGAGCATGCTGTAGGGTATTATCACAGACAACATGATGACACAGCTACACCCTGGCAATATCTATTTCATTGTGGTTATGTCTTTGTGGTTGGGTGGGCAAATCAACAAAATATTACCTGTTCTGTACACTAAAGATCCAAACCATGGAGGTGATTGTTAAAGTAATCACTTGGTACAACGTATGTCAATATATTGGATCAAGCTAAATATCTTAAAATCAACAAAATATTACCTGTACTGTACACTAAAGATCCTAACCATGGAGGTGATTGTTGCAGTAATCACTTGGTACAACATATGTCAATATATAGAATCAAACTAAATATCTTAAAATCAACAAAATATTACCTGTTCTGTACACTAAAGATCCTAACCATGGAGGTGATTGTTGCAGTAATCACTTGGTACAACATATGTCAATATATTGGATCAAGCTAAATATCTTAAAATCAACAAAATATTACCTGTTCTGTACACTAAAGATCCTAACCATGGAGGTGATTGTTAAAGTAATCACTTGGTACACCATATGTGAATATATTGGATCAAGCTATATATCTTAAAATAACTTCCAGTTCTGGTGGGGACCTTAAAATGGAACTAAACTCTCTCAATCAACATGAAATATTTTTAATGCTTACGCTGCTAGCATTAGTAAATAGATAGGAAGGTATATTGTATTTACTTGTTTTAACTTTTTTTTTCAGTTCTTCAGTTGCTTCCTGGTTTCTGGCCTAGGCCAAAATGATTTCATACTTCCCAGGAGTCTTCATGGGGTTTTTTTTTTTTCTTTTTTTTAGAGAGGACAGGAGGAAGGACTTTCTCAGCTAAGCACACCCTCCTGCCTGCACACTTGAGTTAAGGGCAGATGGATTCCAGGATTTAAATGCTACATGAATAAACTGCCCTTACTCAAGATGGCTGGGGCTAGAAATGCTAGGGGATATTTATCAAAGTGATTTATCAACAAAATAAAGCATGGAGACATTGATGGATGGGTAAGTTTGCTTTGAATATTAAAAATTAAATAAATGGTTGTTTTGGTTTGTGGTGCTCAGATGTAGTGTAGTTTCACTTTTACATGGTCATCATGTCACATGCCTACTTACCTCTTTGTTGCAAGTGTTTTTCAGTTTTTCAAAAAAATAAAGCATGGAGACCTTGATGGATGGGCAAGTTCGCTTTGAATATTAAAAATTTATTAAATGGTTGTTTTGGTTTGTGGCGCTCAGATGTAGTGTAGTTTCACTTTTACATGGTCATCATGTCCCATGCCTACTTACCTCTCTGTTGCAAGTGTTTTTAAAGTTGTTTTGGGCAACACCCAATTGCTTTTCCCTCGTGTGCTTATAGAAGTCTATTGTGCTTTCAAATGCACATTAAAATAGAAAATGGAGATACTTACAAATCTCTGAAGGCATAGCAATGACTGAGCTGAAATACATTTCATATTCAGTAATTATTATATCAAATTGCCAGGCACAAATATTGATGTATTTAATTATATTTTCCTGTTAGCGCTTAGCTGTTTCATATTATACGATTTTTACCCCTGAATATCATCTAAATCACTTTGGTTACAGTTCCTGTTAACGTAATTACTCATAAAAAACAGATTTAATTGGGTACAGATTATTCCAGCTCTGAGCCTCTGTATTAGAAAATTTTAATATAATATTGATTTTGGTTCCTAATGTGAGCAAAGGGAAAGGAAGCACACAAGTAGATGCGGAAATGAGGCTTGGAACATTGTTTCGAATCTGCCTAGAGCTTTGTACAGCCGTAGACCTAGAGTGACCTCTCTTCCTGATAAAACGTGGAGGCTTTATTTGCATGTTCACAGCTGTGGCAGATTATCCTGCATCCTCGGGGCCGCACATAAACATTACCACAAGTCTATTTCCCATAAACCTACAACCAAAGCAATACAGGGGATTTTCTATCATTGTATGTATACTGTACAGTATATATGTACAGTTCTAGCTCATATACTGTTTCTCTGGAGTAATGATGTGGCTGTATAGTTTAAAGTGATGTTAAATATTACTTAATACCTAGCCAGTAAATGTTTGCTGGTACAATTATTACAGCTTACAGTACACCGCTGTTGAACATGAAACTAAATGCTGAAATATGTACAGTGGTCACAGGCTACCTGCCAAGCTCTGCTTTGTTGCTGGTGACCCCATGATCCAGGAACAATTGGTCTTCTCCTGTTTAAATTAAAGTGCCGATAAACCTCAGACATGAAATATAAACAAAGCATATTCCTCTATTGTGTGTACTTGTCTCAATCCAGAGCACTAATGCAGGCCATAGACGGTTCGTTTATCGGCCGAATTTTTCAGCCGAAAAATAAAAAAATTGGTCGTTCTGTTGCCACCAATGATTACGAAAATTGGCCGTTTCTCGTAAATTTTCCAGCATGACTGATAAAAGAAATGAGGAGGAACCGCGAAAATCGGCTGATGACATTGCCCCACTAATGGTGCGAATATCAGCCCATTAATCCTTCGGATGAAAATTTGGCCGATAAACGAACCGTCTATGGCCTGCATAAGTGTCCCTTCTGTCCACTGCCTCGTTCCTCTGTTATCAGCATGAGTCACTTCTGACAGGTTTCCTGACACTAAGATAAAAATGTGTGTCAGGGAGGGACCTCCAGCTGATTGACAGCCTCAGCTCTGTTCTTCTGTGCTGTGTGAAGGGGTATGTCCCTTCCCTCCAATCAGCTCTCAAAGCTCTCCTCACTGATGTAACGTCAGCTCTCCACCCCCTGCTTTTCAGAACTGAGAGATCCTGTGTAAAATCTGCACTTTGAATGGCTGTGGAGAAAAGACAGCTATAAATATGTAGCACTACCCCCTTAGTAGTTGCTGAGTGTTTGGGTCCCCCTATAGTCATGGATAGCCAGGTAAACTTCGCATTTTAGCATTTTCACACTAACTTGCATCCAGGAAACAGTCAACAGTCCTTCAGCTTGTTTTTAAGTTTTATGATGGGAATTTAACTTGGATAGGGTTAGGGGTGTAGGGGATGCCCAATGGAACTGAAAAACTGAGGACAGCTTCCTAGAACTACATACACGTGTTTACAGCAAAATCCTCTTCTTGGAGAGCTAGCCAGTGTCTCCTGTAGTACCACCCAGACCCCAGATAAATCCTCCTCTCATCCAGCTATCTGAGGGAAATCTCTGAGCAGGGGATCCAGTGCCTGCCACGTTAAAGTAAGACAGTTCTCATTAGTTGCTAATCTGGTTTCCCACCAGAGTGCTCCTTCCCCTATCTGGCCCAGGGGGGGTGCAGGTCTACTCACTTAGTCCTTCTCTTGTGTTGCCGGTGGTTCAGTGGCTGCTACCAGGCCTTCTAGCTTGGCTGCTCCTTCCCTGCCATACAGGTGATTCTCTCTCAGGGGGACGGTGAAGTCCCAAGGTTTTCTTCTTCTAAGGTCCCTGCCTGGAGGTTAGCTCTTCTCCCAATCGGGGCCCCCTCCCAGGCTCTTGCTCTCCAGCTTCACATCCTCCTCTTCCACCCAAACTCTCCTCCAACTCTCCTGCTGCTGAGCAGGCTGTTACTCTGTCCTGGCCCCTTGACAAGCCTCCTATTGGGGATTGACTAGGATCCTCCAAGAGTACAGACCAGTCACTCTTCACATCCGCTCACTGCTTCTAGATCTTTCTCCAAAGTTCTAGAGCAGGGGGAAATTCCTGAGAGCTGCTCTGCAGAGCCTCTCAGCTCTAAACTGAATTTGGCCCACCTGGCTATCACACTCAGGCTGCTACTCAGCCCTCTTGACTGACAATTAGAGCTAGAAATGCCCCCAGCTATCTAGGAGGGTGCTACAAATATACAGGTGCTATTAATGTAGGAGGATTTGTTTCAGCTCTGTGTATTACCTGAGGCCAGTCACTTCTCTGGATATATGTAAGGGTTTACAGCCACTTTAATATGTTACTGGGTGTTTTTGATCTGGTCAGTATACTACTCTGTGTTGAGGGAATGGCATTATGCAATCTCTTACATTTCTTCTAGGATTACAGCATTTAACATTCCCGTGGTTCATACATAGCATCCCCAAACACTTCTGCAGCAGTCCAATGACCACATTTTTTCAGCTCACTCAGCAACTGTCAGTAAGCTGGGACATTCTCCTGAATCAGCAAATATCCATGGGCTTCCAGATATCTACACTGGTAAAATTTATCTTTGAATAACATTAGAATATTTAAATTTATAAGAGGAACTGCAGTCAAAATAACAAGATAAAGATTAATAGTAAAAAAAAACAGAACTAGTTTTGCTTCAATGTTCACTGTACAGGACACCAGGAATGTGTTCGGGAAGGCAGGTGTATTCCCCCAGTATTTGAGTTGTGGTTCCTTTAAGAAGGACAGTTTGACGACAGGGGTTCTCACCCACGCAGGGTGACGGGTTTGAGGGTAATCCAATAAAAAAGAGAGGACTGATTGTAAGTACTCTCAGAATTGATAAGTTCTTATTAGGGACCCAGAACCTCAGAGGTTTGAAGAGTTTTTGGAAAGACTCAGGACTGAAGAGTTTAAACTTCAAGTCCGGACACTTTTACCCCCTTCCTGTCCAGGGCAATTTTCAGCTTTCAGCGCTATCACACTTTGAATGACAATTGCGCGGTCATGCAACACTGTATCCATATGAATTTTTTTTACCATTTTTTTGAGACAGAGAAAGCTTTATTTTGGTGGTATTTATTCACCGCTGGGATTTTTTTTTTTTTTTTTTTTTTGCTATGTAAATGAAAATATCCAAAAATTTTGAAAAAAGTGTTTTTCTTTTAAATTTTGCAAATAAATAATCTTTCATCATAAATCTTGGCCGAAATTTATTCTGTTATGTTTTTAGTAGAAAAAAAATAAGCCAAATTAGTTTTTAACCAAAAATTATAATTTTTAAAAATTTTTTCTACATTTTTATTTTATTTTTTTATATTATTATTTATGTTTTTTTTTTTTTTTTTTACATCCTGTCACCCTAGCAGTACAGTGTCACCATGGTGACACTGTACTACTTGTGGGGGGTGATGAAGATTTTTTTTTCTCTTTACAGTGATTGCTTTTACACCCATATAGGATGTAAAAGCAATCATTTCTCTTTCTCTCTGTCTGCATTCTTGCAGCCATTGAGAACTACTGAGTGAGCTGTGATTGGTCACAGCTTGTCACATGGTACAAGGCTGTTGTGAATAGCTTTGTACCATGTGGCCTCTGTGATCATTCACAGATTTCACACGTAGTAAGTAATGATGTCACAAGTGACCTCTTGCTTACTACTTTGCATGTGATCACTGATTGGCCTATCAGTGATCACATGATCGGGACCTCGTGCAGAGGTCCCGTCCATTGATCGGTGTTTCACTGTGTCCGGAGGACACAGCAGGCACCGGATCGCGGTGCTGCGCGCTCCCAGGGAGCGCGCACAGCTAGAAATGGCGGGTGCCGTTTATGAACGGCAACCCACCCCTGGAGTGCCACCGTCCTGCCGTTTATAAACAGCAAGCGGACGGCAAGTGGTTAAGCCACAGCCATGGGGGTCTTGAAAGGCAGCAGTATGGAATCAGCATCTGTGTCAGTGAGGGAGAGTGGAGTAGTTCACAGGCTGTGAGTGAGGTGAACTTTCTGGTAACTGAAAGGCTTGTTGCTGAACCCCTGCGACCTGTCTGCACCCTAAGGTCTGGTTCACACTACATGTGTTTCAGTTGCGTTTTTTTCTGCATCCAAAACACACTGAAAGTAGGTTATATGATTGTCAATGTCATAGTTTACATCAGTGCTTGCAGTTGCAGTGCGTTCCGGGTACAGAAAAAAAAGTAGAACAGGCTGCATTTTTTCTGCACAGTTGTACTGGAATGTGGTAAAACGTATCAATTATGCACTGGAACGCACTGGAATGCATCCGGAACACATCTGGAATACGTTTCTATAGTGTGAACCGGCCATGAAACAAGAATGAACTCTAACCCCAGTGTGGGATCCAGAGATTGGTGGTGAGCCTGTGGCATGCTTCCTTTATACCAGGATTATGGACTGTTTTGCTTTACTTTTGGCTGAAGAAAGATCTTTGTGTTTACTTGTTTTGGAGATACCAATAAAAGATTGTTTTACCTTAACAAGCAGCTGCTGGTGATCTTGAGTTTCCATACAACATCAACTATAATACAGAGATTTCCCCTGTAGTACTTTTTTTCTGCTACTGGATGTCCTTAGTCAGATGGCCATTATCATTAACCTCACTTTCTCTGAGTCCAAGTTGTCTTGGAGCCACCCTAGTCTGTTATGGGACAGCAAAGGAGAAGCAGCACAAAATTGAGCGTGCCTCTCTGTCACTCTGCTTTCCCCTTCTATCAGCATGCCTCTTGTCAGCACATGAACTTATTGGCTCCTTGTGCTGCTACTTCTTTTCACACTTTAGCTTCAAAACTGAGATTTCAAGAGGCTGATATCAGGACAAATCCAGGTACACTGCTGGCGTTGGCCATGTGATGCACTGACCAATGAGAATACATTTGAGGCCCCTTAGGATGACATTCTGGAACAAAGCAGAGATTCTCATTGATCAGTACAGTCAGGTGGCCTGTGCTGACCAATGGGCTCATGCAATTGCTCACATTATACTGTTACACAGCCTCCAGCACTATGTAGTGATGTCTTAAAGTGCTAGACTTTTATATCGGCTGGAGAGGGAAGCAGAAAAATGGGGAGAATATAAGGTACATGCAAGGACCAGAGGGGTGGGGAGGGTTGTTTTGCGTGTACCTTTAATTTTTTGTGAAGAGGGAAACTAACTCTAATTATGGATTAATGATTACAGCACCGCATTAATGGGGTGGCACAGTGGCTAAGTAATTAGCACATCTGCCTGGTCGCCGGTTCAAATCCCAACCACGGCACCACCTGCCTGGAGTTTGCAGTTTGCATGTTCTCCCTGTTCCTGCGTGGGTTTCCTCCAGGTACTCCGGTTTCCTCCCACACTCCAAAGACATGCTGGTTGGTTAATTGTCTCCTGTCTAAATTGGCCCTAGTATGTGTATGTATGAATGTGAGTTAGGGACCTTAGATTGTACACATCTTGAGGGGTAGGGACCGATGTGAACGTACAATATATATGTAAAGTGCTGTGTAAATTGATGGCGCTATATAAGTACCTAACCTAAATAAATAAATAATATTGTGTGTCTTTTATATGTCTGCCTAGACTTAAACTTTACGGCCTATTCACACAGGAGGCGCCTGGCCAGAATCTGCAATTTTTACTGGTGGAGAAACTACCTGCATTGCGAATGCCCATGGCCTATGAAGTGAAACATACCATCCCTACAATGAAGCATGGAGGTGGATATCTGCTGTTTTAGGGTGTGTAAGCTACTGTGACATATGGAATTTAGTCCAAATTATCAGAAAAAAAATCTGAAAATTATAAAATATTTTATAAAATATTGCAGGAAAATGTGTCTTCGATAGCCTGGAATCTGTGCATAGGGAGCACTTGGACGATCCAAAAAATAAGGCCAAGTTGACCCTCTCATAGCTGCAGCTGAGACATTTTAAGTTCTGGGTTGCCATCACCATCTCCTGACTTTAACATCGTTCAGCCACCTTGGGGAAATCTCAGACTTGCAGTTCATGCTAGACAGTTTAAAGAATTTACAGGACCTGAAGGCTTTTAGCCAAGAAGAATAGGCAGCTTTATGACATGACAAAACAAGTTTCTCATTCACTAAAAGACTGCAAGCTGTCATTGATGCAAATGGGACAATACATAATATTAAAGCAGGAACTAGATTCCACAGGCTGAGTGTGAGATTCTGCCATAATAGGAAAGTATGCACAACATATTTGGATATTATGTCACACTTATCTTACACACAGTGCCCTCCTCCAGCGATGAAAGGTCCAGCCTTGGCTCACCAATGCCAATTTTCTCACTGATTTTTCCAGTTTTGCAATGTTTCCCTTTGGCCATTGGATGGGTGCAACTCTTGCGCATGTGCATAAGAATTACATCATCCTCGATGCCTGCATCTATTCTTAGCATACCAAAAATGAATGGAATACACACTGCACAGTACTGTGCAATGTACATAGATACAAAGTATGGACCAATGTTTTTTGGCAAAAGGAAACTACTTTGTATGTCTCTTTTTTGCACACCTGTAAAAATCTTAATTTTTGGCTATAACATTACTTCTAAAAAACTCCTAGAACATTATACAATATATTTTCTGAAAGTACAGGGCCTGTAGATAAAAAAGACAGTTGTTGCAATTTTATTTCTTACAATATTCATGCAACTGTTTAATAAACACATACTTTCACAAAAAATACAATAAAATACATTTTAGTCCAAACACACAAATTACCCAATTTCCTAGCAAAATATAAAAGATGAGGTTGTGTCGAGTAAATATATACCAAATATGCCAAGTCTTAAAATTGCATTTGCGGATGTGTCTAGGGCAGTTGGGGGTGTTACAAGTAATCTTTTTTTTATACATTTTATTAACATTTTTTAATTCTTTTTTTTTTTACTTTATTGCTGTCACAAACCCCCATGTGATAGCATTGGGCAGGTGACAGGTAATCTTTGCGGAGACATTGGTGGACTATTGACCCTAATGTCTCCCCTGCTCTCCAAAGCATCAGACCGAGTAGAGATGCTCAGTGTGTAATCCCTTCACTCTATGGACATATATAGTACATCCAAAGAGCTGAACTAATTAAAAACAGAAAGAAATGTGTTTAGTTATATGTGTTCACTTATTTTTCTTGGTCCACATTTTACAGAATCTGTAAAACCTATGAGCACAACTATTTTTTCACTTTTGCCTTGCAGGACTGGGGTCTATGGTTTGAATCCTATGCTGAACACTTTCTGCATGGAGTTTGCATGATCTCCACGTGTTTGCATGGGTGTCCTTCTGGTACTCTTGTTTCTGCCCACATTCCAAAGACACACATGTATGTACATGTGAGATAGAAACATACTGTGAGCTCCTTGAGGGCAAGGACTGATGTGAATATACAGTATGTAAATATTTTGGCTAAAACTTTCACTTGTTGCGCATTAAATGTGCAGCTATTAGCAAGCATGTATAGGAAACAATGGTTAGTTATTGATACATTTAATAATTTACATCTGCAAATGGTACAAAACAGATTATGGTCTGTGAATGTAACAATTCTAACTCTGCAGAGACCAAAATATCCCATTGAAGACAGAAAATCCATAGAGGTGTCAAAAGGCAGCAAATCCCCTGAACACAAGGACAAGTGTTGTCAGTGAATGAGCTTTATGCAGAAGGTAAAAAAGATCACATGGGAGCCAGCAACAAATAATGATGACGCTTTATATATATCCCCAGTATTTTTAGATCATTTCTCTTATATTTCATAACAAAACATTTCAACAGGATAATTGAATATATGCTCGAATTGTGGAAAACGAGCATTGGATCAACCCCCGGTAGTCCCCGCTGTCAGAATACAATAAGGCAGCACGGGAGATCCCTGCATCCACATCACTTGCATGGAAGCAGGGATCTGTTTTCTTTTTCAATCAGCCTGCTGGTTGAATGAAAACAAGTCTCCATGTATGATCAGCTTAAGGGCGGTTATGACCCCGTCATTTGTTTTGCCATCTGTGTCCCATCGGTCATATTTTCCTTCACTTCCTGTACCATAGTAAAAACATTAAAGTATTACTAAACCCACAACAGTAAAATCAGTCTGTGTATACAGTAAAGCATGCTTGTTATACTCACTGTAGAACTTAAGGGGGTTAATCCTCTGCATTGTGTAAAAATGCTATTTGATCCTGACATCTATGATCCTCCCCTTCTTCCAGTGCCCCCTTCTTATCTTCCGATAAGACATATCGTATGGAGAAATGCTGCACATGCTCAGTTTGGTGTGTATTGCTAGAGATATTTTTTTTTACTTGGGAGAGTGCATGTGGGAGAGTGGGAGAGTGCATATGATCAGCACAGGGCCAATCAGCACTGTCCAGACAAAGGTCAGGGGTTCTGCATCCTCCTAAAGCAAAATGAAAACAATTCCTACAAGCATTAACCAGTGCTATGCTGGACACTGAGAAGTCACAAGACTGATCTAACTACTGATGAGAAAAGGTATTTAGCAGTTTATATTTACTAAAATAATTGCACTTCCATGTTCTGTGTACTGTGGGAGACCAGATATGGTGAATGCAGGGTCCTGGGTTTAGTAAC